AATTAAGTATTTCTTAAGCTCTATTTCATAATTGGCTGTTATACTCCTGTGGCACAGAGGTTAAGGTACTCAGCTGTTAACTGAAATGTCGGTGGTTAGAACCTACCAGCCCCTGCACGTGAGAAAGATGCGACAGTTCTACTCTATCCTACAGGGTTGCTATGAGTCAGAATCACCTTAACAGCAACAAGCTATCTGTTGTTGTTGTTGTTATGTGCTGTCGAGTCAGCCCCGACTCATAGAGACCCCTCCTTGGGTTTCCGAGGCAGTATCACTACAGAAGTTGTTGTTGTTGTTGTTGTTGTTGTTATGTGCCGTCGAGTCGGCCCCGACTCATAGCGACCCCTCCTTGGGTTTCCGAGGCAGTATCACTACGGAAGTAGGATTGCCCAACCTTCGAAGTAGGATTGCCCAACCTTCCTTCCGAGGAGTGGCTGGTGGGTTTGAACCGCCAACCTACTGGTTAGCAGTCAAGTGCTTTAGCCACTATGCTACCAGAGCTCCTCAACAAGCTATCTAGTCATACAAAATTCATGAGAATATATTGAGTGAAGAAAAACCATACACTACCATCAAAAAGAAAAAATTAAGTCAACTAGAATTAATGGGGTTTATTAAGTGATAAACTGTTAATGAACATGGAGCACCCTAAACTGAAAATGGTAAGGGCACAGTTACAATGCCCCTTTAAAGCTTAAATGAGTATTGCCCTGATTGTCTAATCACATTAAATTTTCATTTTCTTTTGGGAAAGTTGGTGACTGAATGCCAAGCTGGCTTATCTCAACGGAATCAATGTTGCTACTTTATGCTGGTAAGTAGTGCTAACTCATGCTGTTAAGAAAAACTAGATTAAATTTCCAATCTTCTAAAAGTCCCTGCTTCTTGTAATTAGACTTCTGACTAACTTTTGTTTTGCTCTTGGCAGAAGGAAGCCATTTTAACTCTTGCCTGTATTAAAATTTTTAACACTACCTAACTGACCAATCCTGCTTTTAGTTCTAAGGTACAATGAAAACTGCATTTCCTAGCCTCCTTTGCACTTTGGCCAGAGTCAGTTACAAGGCCCCAGCCTACGTAATGTGGGCAGAAATGAGTATTCACTCTAAGCCTGACCCTTAAAATCTTCTGAACGATTCATAGCCAACTCTCTTTTCCCTTGACAATGGGCACAGCATCTAACAAGAGGAATGACTCCAAGGCTGAAGGAGGAAGAGAGGAACAGCAAAATGGAAGAAGAAGCCAAGAATTCCTGGGTCACCACTCTGAGGATAGCTGAATCCCTCAATCATTATTGTGTAAAGCACCCTCTGAAGATCTACCCAACTCCCATCTGATTGTGACCATTTGATTCTGATTCCTGTCTGAAGGAAACAAAGTGAGAAACTTTCAAATTTAACACTGAAATTTTCTGAGGTCATAATATAACCTAACACATCTCCTATCCCGCCTACAGTGTGTTGTTGTTGGGTGGTGTCAAGTCAGTTCTAACTCATAGTGACCCTATATACAACAGAATCAAACACTGCTCAGTCTTGTACCATCCTCACAACTATTACTATGTTTGAGCCCATTGTTACTGCTACTTGTGTCAGTCTAGCTTGTTGAGGATACTCCTCTTTTTGCTGACCTTGTACACTTTATCAACCATGATGTCCTTTTCTAGGAACTGGTCTCTCCTGATAACATGTCTAAAGTAAGTTAAGACAAAGTCTCCTTATTCCTTGCTTCTATGGAGTATCCTGGCCCTACTTCTTCTAAGGCAGATTTGTTCATTCTTCTGGTAGTCCACAGTATATTCAATATTCTTCACCAATACCATTCTTCTTTATTCACTGTCCAGCTTTCACATGCATATGAAGAGACTGGAAAATACCATGGCTTGGGTCAGGTGCATCTTAGTCCTCAAAGTGACATCTTTCCTTCTCAACACTTTAAAGAAGTCTTTTGCAGCAGTATGTCTGATGCAATATGTCATTTAATTTCTTCATTGCTGCTTTCATAGGCATTGACTGTGGATCCAAGTAAAATTAAATCCTTGACAACATCAATATTTTCTGTTTATCATGATGTTGCTTACTGGTCCAGCTGTGAGGATTTTTGTTTTCTTTATGTTTCTTGTGTTTCTTTAGGAGTGTACAGATCCAAGTGAAATGCCAGATAAAAAAATTTACCAGTGTAATGTTGTATGCAAATACAGAAGTAATAGAGCTCTGGTAGCGTAGTGCCTAAGGCACTTGACTGCTAACCAGAAGGCTGGCGGTTCAAACCCACCACCCACTCCTCGAAAGGAAAATGGAGCAATCTACTTCCGTAGTGATACTGCATTGGAAACCCAAGGAGGGGTTGCTATGAGTCGGGTCTGACTCGACGGCACATAACAACAACAACAAACCAAGCTAAAAACTATGCAGTTTTTTAAAAAATAAAAAATCAAACCCTCTGCCGTCAAGCTGATTCTAACTGAAGTAGAAATTCACAATATTAACAGCAATATGTAAATATTATTTAAGAGATAGAAAATAAGTCAATTTTTTTATATTAAAAATCAACAGGCTACTAATTGATAAATAAAAATCACTTATTCCTTCAAGGTACGGACTCCTTCAGAGAAATGGCAGGCTTATCGACACAGTAGGGTTGGACGTCTCTTCAAACCCTTCACCCCAAGAGGAATAAGAGTTAGATGAGAGATAAGGACAGAAATTAACATACAAAAAGAGAAGTCATATCTTATAAGAAAAATATGCTTATTTACAGTTATTTAGGATACACCAACAGAGCACGTTTTTTTGAGGGGGGGGTTATGATACCTGTGGGGTAAATGAATACTAAGATGATATACACAAAAACTAAAAACAAGTTTCTTCTGCTATACTCATGATTAATCTATCAAGTCCTCAGGAATCTCTCCTTAAATTCGTTTAAGCATTTGACAGATCTTAAAGAATGCCCTCATATTTTTCCCTTCCTTCGGCCCTGATATTAAAACAGTACATTTCATATCACAAAAGGTTGGTAAAACAATAATTATCCCAAAAGAGTAAAATCAATCAACTGAATTAGGTGATAACACTTAGCAATTTGAAAATTTCTGAACTAACATCAAAGAAGGTAAAAAGCCAAAAAAACCAAACTCACTGCCACCGAGTCGATCCCGACTTAAAACTAGGAAGAAATGAAGCTAACAATAGCAGAAGAGTAAACCCAACTGGAAAATTTCGGTTTGCACCCTGAGAACCTTATTTGGCATAAAAGATAGCATTAACTAACACTAAAGTTAATCTGTTTACAAAAGCAATGAAAATCAAAGAGAAACCTCATGTTTGTTTTTAAAGGCTGAACGTTACCTCGAATTAGTAGATATGTATACTTATGGCATAATCTTGTGGAAAAAGTAAAGATTTTAAATATTCTAATATTAGCAAAGATAAGAGAATCAAGTTTTCTATCCCTCAAGTTTTGGTTTTCACTGGTAAATGTAAGTTTTATAGGAACAAATGCAAAGAAGAGTATGTAAGAACATGGAAATGCATATAAACTAAATTGAGACAAGATTGCCAAGATCTTCAGAACCAAGAGACTGTAAGACTCACTGGCTCAGAAGCATACATTCTAGAAATAGACAATTCTCAGTGGAAAATAAACTACCTTGATGTTTTACATCTAGTTTATTAAATGAGACTCCCTTTATTCAGAAATAATGGTAATTTGTCCATCTCATTTTCACTCTTTCATGATCTATGGAAAAAAGTTTTAAGAAAAATAAGTAAACAAAGTTGCACAGGCCATATAATGAACAACAAACTTAAATTTATTATAAACTATAATAAAAAACTAGTTACTGATGATTGGTTTTCAATCATAAATAGATCTGACAGACTTTCAACTTTTACCAAAACTTTAGTTATTTACTTTGCTAATAAAACATAGTCTTGAACAGCTGCTTTCTCACACATTCATATATACACACACATGTGTACATGTGTCATGTTTTACCATGTTCTAAAAAATTTTAAACTATCTGGAAAAGCAATATTCTTTTGTATTTAAACATTGATACGAAAAAAATATATAAGCATAAAGAATATAAATAATTAAAATGGAAAACAGATTCCATAAAGGAAATATAAATTTTATGGGTGGGCTAGCCCTGAATTAAACATTACTGAAGTACATAAAATCATTAGTAGGATGAGAGTTATCCATTGTTCTTTATCTTCAAAAGGTATAAACAAAAGAAAATGGACATACAAAGCACAAACAGAGGATTTGGTTATTTACTGATGATGAATAATTGAAGTAAATTTCAAAAGTTAATCATGGTACCAACTTTATCACCTACCTTTCATAATTACACAGGACTTCAGGCATGCTTTTCTGCATGCAGACTATTCTTGTGTTTGCTTCACTATCTCACCTCTACGAAGCTTCTTTTGAGTTTCTTATTTTACTGCAAGACAATTCAGCTACTTGTGGCAAGAGTGGGGAGTGTAGTAGGATTATAGTACAATGGACAATAAAATAAATCCCATAAAATAACTCCACCTGCTTGCTGAATTAATCCTTTGCAGTAAAACAAAGAACCTCCAATTCTAATACTATATTCTCAAATGAGCCACCAAAAATAGAACATGATTTTCAGCCATTTTTCCAACAACAGTGAAATATTTAAGCTCCTCAATTCGTAATTCCTCACTCCCTTGTTGACTTAACTTTTAAAAAAATGTAGCAGAAAAAGATATGTGGCATTTTTGGTGGCCACAGACAGGACAAAGTTGAGAAGAGGGGGAAACTAAATTCTGGACCGTGACTCTATTACCTTTCTGCTAAAAAGATAAATTATTAATTGCTCAAATAATAAGGAAACTAAGATTTTTCTCATAATTTTTATTTGTCATACTTTTAGAAATAGGAATTAGCACTTAATTTTTAGGAATTCATCATCCTGGAAAACTAAATAGAGATTTAGTTTTACAATCAGCCTGTCCTTGCCTTACCTGCCATTACAGAGTAGCCATCGTGCAAGAGAGTAATGAGGTATTATCTTCTGCATGACACTGGCCATCACCATGGTAACAACCAGCTGTATACCTATCACTCCCTGTGTAAAAATAAACAAAGTTAACAATGAAAATATTTGAATTTGAGGAAATTGCTGGAAAACTTTTACACATTTTGAAAATTAGATTTTTAAGAAAAATGCAAATGAGATTATTTAAATATATATTGTTACTGAAGACCATTTAAGTTTATACTTGAATTATTTAGTCTTGTGTCATAAGCCTGTACACGTTATCTGAGGATCATATCCATGTGAGTAAAAGTTAAGCATATATATATATATATATATATATATTCAAAATATATTCCCAATAAATGTTTTGCATAAATTAACATTATTGACTTATAGTGATTATTTCACCTTTCTCTAATTTACTTCACTCAACATACTTGAAACACTAGCTTGACAAGGTTTAATAGTAATATACTTATTTTTTAATGCTAGGGTGGTGATAGCTGTTTTTGCTGCCATTAAGTTGGCACTTGACTCAAGGCAACCCCATGCATAACAGAATACCTAGTCCTGTACCAATTCCTATCATCAGTTGCAGACCTGACCATTCTGATCTACAGGTTATACTAGCTGATACTCATGAGTAGATTCCCAAAACCTTTCTTCCTCTAGGATGGTAGTGATCAATGAAAGAACTTTAACTATAGTAAGTATGATGGCAGGAGAGGCCTGAAAATCACTAGAAAAGAAAATCTGACTCATGCTTTCACCACCAACTCTCAATGGGCCTTCAAAAATGTCCAACAATTCTTAGTTTTCCCTCCCCTACCTCCGTAATAGGAGCTCTGGTAGCATAGTGGCTAAAGCACTTGACTGCTAACCAGAAGGCTGGCGGTTCAAACCCACCAGCCACTCCTCGGAAGGAAGGTTGGGCAATCCTACTTCCGTAGTGATACTGCCTCGGAAACCCAAGGAGGGGTCGCTATGAGTCTGGGCTGACTCGATGGCACATAACAACAACACCACCACCTCCGTAATAGGAGCCCTGGTAGCAACGACGGCATATAACAACATCTGTAATGGCCAATTTAAATCTTCTCCCTCTTCCTCGCACCTCCAAATCATCTCTCAAACTTTAAACTCTCTACTGACAGAGAAAATATATATCAAATGTGGAGACTCCTTCACTTGCCACCTTCAAACCCACAAGTCTCTTGTATCTACAGCTATCTTTTTCTACATCCTCTACAACTAACGGAGCATCTAAAATATGAAACAAACCTCTATATCTGCTTCAGGGACCATCACCTTTGATCTTTAGAAATCTCAACCATCAAATAGCCTTTTTCTGGTATCTGCTTCAACTTTTTCTCTATTAAAAACCTTCCCACCAGCACTCCAGCACCAACAAACCTCTTTCATCTTTCTAAATATTAACAATAATTTACCCTTTTTCTATACTCCTCCTACTGCTTCCTCATATTCACAGCCACTTTGCAAAAGACTTGTTCTCACTGTTTCCATTGTCTTGTATCCCACAGAGTCACCATCTAACATATGCCCCAGGCTGTTGTTGTTGTTGTTTGCCATCGAGCCCAACTCATAGTGACCCCTCCTTGGGTTTCCGAGGCAGTATCACTACGGAAGTAGGGTTACCCAACCTTCCTTCCGAGGAGTGGCTGGTAGGCTTGAACCCCCAGCCTTCTGGTGAGCAGTCAAGTGCCTTAGCCACTATGCTACCAGAGCTCCTCTAGTCCAGTGCAAAACCTATCTATCAATCACACCAGGTTGCCAAATTTTCTGTCCTCATCTTAAATCTCATCTTAAGTGGTAGATCACTCTCACCCCTGCTTTACTGACACCCTGAGGACTGATCAGTCCTACATGGTCCCCCTTTGTTGGTTTCTCCTTCTCTTACCTAAGCAGTCCAAAAATAAAGTGTGATTGCTACTGCAAAACTAATATACTCCCCCTCGCCCCCAAAAAAGCACATTAAGAAAATATGAACAGGTTTTTTAACTATTTGCATTTATATTTCTTTTTCTATTAAATAGAGCTAACAATTTAACCTACCTCATTCAAGCTGTGGGCAGGAATTGTGCCTGGTATAGAGTAGCAGTTAATAAACGTTAGTACTGTTTGTTACTATCACTAATATTACTGCTGCTACTAGAATACCAGTTTTTGAAAAATAATTTCAAGAACAGAGAAGGCCTTTCTGAAAAATGTCATCAGTCTTATAACCCATAAAAGGCCAAAAAAAGTTTTTAAAAAATCAAGTTTCTACACAGAAAACAACATAAAGTCAAAAGACAAAGTCAAATACAAAAAGTACTTGTAATTCATTATCAGAGACTGATAAAAAAAACATTATTTTTAAAAGAAAATCAAACAAATTTGATATTATACATAGAGAGTCCTACAAATAAATTAGTAAAAGAGCAACTGCCTAATTAAAAAAAAAAAAAAGGGACAGGAACTACAAATGACTCTTAAAATATATACCAGGCCTGCCTCAAATAGTTTCACCTGTGAATATTTTAAAGCCTGAAATTCTGCCAATTGGGTGAAGGTCTAGACTTACTTTAACATTAAGTTAACATCAAAGATTACAATTTTACCATTTTTCTTCACATTTCCTATCACTTGAACTCACGAACTATTTCATGTGTGATTTGTGACAGAAGCTCTGCATTCTCCATACAATGAATGCCATTATAAAGAACTCCATCAGGCAGAACAAGACCAAGAAATATATAACAAGTATGTCAGAAGATTTGTCTATTTGAGATTATAGACTTCAAAAGGAAAAGTTTTTCTTTGTTTGTTTTCTTTTTATGTCAAGGAAAGTTTTTTGGATAGAGGAGACTTTAACTTAGCCTTGAAAGAAGTAGTGACAGTATCACAGAATCATCAAGGTCATCTAGGACAATCACTCACAAACATTATATAACAATTTATTAGAATGTAAGCTGTTAAAACAGCAGAAATCATATCTTAGTCACATCTAACAAATGGTATAGCTATTAAATGGTATTTAAGAAAGATTAATCTGGGGTTCCGGCAAGATGGCAGACCAGGCAGAAAGATTGCACAGACCCTCTCCAACAAAGAAAAGGGAAACCAATTAACACAGACAAAGAAGATAATCTTGGACCCCTGAGCCTCGAAGGGAAGGATATAGAAGTGGACTAAACCCCAACTAGCAAAAGAATTTGCATGAAAATACCGAAAAAGGAGACATATGGAGCTGTAGTCTGGCAGCAATCGTGAGTGATCCTGACAGCACAGACAGCTTGGGGATTCCCGAGTGCTGGTAGGATCTAAAAATTAACCTAAAATATCACCCTGCTAACCAGGGACTGCACAGAGGACTGTGCACGGTGGCTGGGGAACAAATGGAGAAGGTGAAGAGAAATGTGCACTGAACTGTGGACTTTTGCTGGTACGGAGGTCACCACCATTTTGAACGTTTTAAAAGCAGCTTGACTATTTTGGATATTTAAAGAGACAGAGCTCTCAGAAATTCTTGGGGCTTAAGAACACGTTCTGCTTTTTAGCAACCCCAAGGACACTCAGGGTCTGCAAGACTGAAAAGGTACGACATTCTTCTTGTTACTCTTATAACTTACACCCACTTGGTGAACGAAGGTGTGGCCATCCACACTCCCACCTATCTTCTGGGCCTACAGGAACTCCATCACAATCTGTGTGCTCAACGGAGCCTGGGTGCCCTGCCCTGTTCTTCACAAAATTTTTTTTTTTTCTGTTTTCTCTTTTTTTATGTTAATTTTTTTCTTTTTCGCTTTATTTTTCTGTAATTAGTTTGCTTGTATTTGTCTGTTTTAAAACAACTAATATTATTAATACTTTTGTCCTTTTTATTATTATTCTTAATCTTCCCCTACCAGGTC